CATTAAAATTGCAATCAAATCCTAAGGAAATTATTTTGTGAATATTATCAAACTGATTTTAACATCTGTATGGAAAGTAGAGACCTAAAATATCCAACACAATATTGAAGAAAAACAAAGTCAGTGGACTGATAATACTATACTTCATTAGACAAATACTTCAATAGAACAGATTAGGGAACCTATAAATAGAACCACATAAGTATAATCAATTAATATTTGATGAAATAGCAAATACAATATAATGGAAAGATCATAATCTTTTTAATAAATCATACTGGAACACCAGGAAATTAATATGCAAAAAACGAACCTTGACACAGACCCTATTCCCTTCACAGAAATTAACTTAAATGTATTATTGGTCAAACATAAACTGAAAAACTCTAAAACTACCAGAAGATAACATCATATAAAATCTAAGTGATTTGGGGTGTAGCAATGTGTTTTTTGATATAATAACAAAGGCATGACCCTTAAAAGAAAAATAATTACTATGTTGAACTTCATTAAAATTCAAACCTGCTTTAATGAACACACTAATAAGAGAATGCAAACACAAGCCATGGGGGATAAACCTTTGCAAAATACATATATGATAAAGAATTATTTGAATAATAACGATGAGGAATAAACAACCCAATTTAAAAATGGGCAAAAGACTGAACAGACACTTCATCAAAGAATATGTTCAGATGGCAAATAAGCATAAGAAAACATGTTCAACATCATATCACTAGGGAATTGCAAATGGGAAAACAAGATATTCCTATTGTTTTAGTATTTTTCACTTCTCTGACCAAAAAAACTTGATGAGAACAGAGAATGAAAGTTTATTTGGGCTCACAGTTTCAGAGAGGTCTAGATCCATATATGTCCAACTCCACAGCTCAAGGCCTGAGGTGATGCAGAACATCATGGTGGGAAGCCATGGTGGAGGAAAGCAGTTCATGGCATAGCCACCAGCCAGCAGAAAGCAAGCTCTGCTCACAAGAGACAAGATATAAACCCAAAAGGCACACCACCAGTGATCTACCTCTTCCAACCACACCATACCTGCATATAGTTACCACCCCATTAATGCATGTCTGTGGTTTAATACTCTGACCATGTCACACCTCTCAAATCTGATCATTTTACCTCTAAAAATTTTTTCATTATCTCACATATTAGCTCTTGGGGGACAACTCAGATCTAAACCCTAACACATACCTGCTGGAAGAGGTAACATCCAAATCTCTGGGAATTTCAATTTCTGGCAAGGATGTGGAAAAATAGGAAGTTTTAATTTATTGCTGGTGGGAATACAGATTTATACAATGACTTTGGAAGATATTTTGGCTATTTCTTACCAAACTAAGAATAGCTTTCTATATTCAAATTAATATAAAACTGGAGTAGATTATGTTTTGTGAATGCATTAATATGTCCCAGTAAACCACAATATTATGTATAATTTTGATGCCCTAATAAAAGCATTAAAAATTGCATCAGGCTGGGGTTATACCTAAGTGGTGAAGTATTTGTTTAGCATGTGTGAGGCCTGATGTTCAACTCCTAGCACTGCAAAAGGAAGCAAACAAAAAATCCTACACATTTATACATTAAAGTTTATATCAATTTTATTCACAATTTCTATAATTTAGAAGTAACCAATATTTCCTCTAGTGGGTGAATTTAAAAAATCAACTATGGTGCATATGTGCCATGGAAGTATATTTAGCAATAGAACAGGTAATTAATGAAACCTGAAAGTCTTGAATTCAGTGCATATTACTAAGTGGAAAAAGCCAGTCTGAAAATTATGATTTCATCCATATGACTGGGGAAAAAGCAAATTTATAAAGATAGCAAAAACATTAGTAGCTGCCAGAGGTTAGGGAGGTGATGAACAATTACAGTACAGAGGGTATTAAACATTGGAACTGTTCTATATGATACTCAGATGGTGGATACATATTATGTATTTGTGAAATGCCATAGGTGTGTATAAAACAAAGTAAATTCTAATATAAATATAATAGTGAATAATGTATCTGTCTTTGACAATTGTAACCATATACCACACTAATGTAAAATATTGATAAGTTGGATAACTATGTGTACAGTGGAGGTACTATATGAGGAAATTTCAGCAAAAATTTATTGTAGAGGAAGTAAGTATTCACTTGAAGTCTTAAAACTGAAGTAGAAGAATAATCAGGAAGACAGTACACTGATACTGAAGGGATTGGTGCTTGATCACTGTACAAATGGCAAGAAATTGAAGAAGACAACATGACTTGGAAAACAAATCAATGTAGGATCTAGATGGAGAAATAGAGAATTACCGATTTGTACACTTCATGGCTAAAAGAAAGTCATGCCATGCTCTTATATAAAAATTACAGGAGTTGCTGGCATACCAAGGTATATTAGAAATAATGCTTGCACGATTTTCTCGAAGGCACAAGGAATGAGATTACCCATTTTGGTCATTTTTTTCAAATGAATTTGTCTTCATTACCATAATATTAAAAGTCTACATACATATCTGGCATGTGCATAAGTGAGCCAGATTGCTGGAGTGTTGTGTACTATTGATAGCTTTTAACTCAATGTTTTCAGCTTTGGGAAAAGATTGACTTACATAATTTAGTATTTGCATATGCTTTGCATGTGGAACTCATGTAGGGTCACTGTTAAACTGGGTTGTACTGTAAATATTAGCTTTGAATCTAAGGCATTATAGCCAATTGATGGTTAGTTATTGCAGATCATGAACTGAAAGTGTGACTTTTAAGTCCTTCATGGTTATTTGAAATGTTTGATGAATTATATTTTAAAACTGTCAATGCCTGTTAATTCTGTTTAGAGCTTGCATTTAGTTTGCATGTCAATTGGACTTTAAGTAGGCGTATTTCTTGATTTGGCCAGATGGTGTCTGTGTGATACAGAAAATCTTTGAGAATAAGGAAAGATTATTACACTGTTTAAAGAAGTATTATTGAACACAGATTTATTTAAGCATTTGAAACATAAAGGGAGGTACTAACAGCTAGTTTTTATCTATGCTTTGATCATTTTTTGACTTAAATACTATGTACATAAAGAAGAATTGAAATTTAAAACTATCTTGGGTTTGTGGTAAATGAAGGCCTTATATAGACACCAGATTTAGGTCTTTGATGATTGTTATATTGATCATAATGTGATGGTTTTAGGGGAAAGATATGCAGTGGTTAATTAATTATGTTTAAAATATCCCATCATTAGAGTATAAACAACACAATGAATAAAGTATAAAATGCATATTCATCTAAGTGATTCTCTAGAGCTAACTGAAAACAAACATCTTGTTTAAGAAGATGGTTTCCACATATAAGTAAGATCATTTGGTACTTGTCTTTCTGTAGCTGGTGTATTTCATTTAGCATGATGTTTTCCAGCATGGTAAGTATTTGAAGGGATAAATATGTTAATTGGTTGTATGTAGTTAATCATTTCACATTTTACATACACATACACATATGTGAAATGATATATAATTTCACATTATATGTATAATAACACCATTTTGTACTTATAAATACATATAATTATGATCTGTATATTTGCAATCAAAGTTAAAAAAGAATGTTGGGGATAAAGGAACAGATTCGGCAAAAATCACCAACTTGAATGAAGATGTTTTTAGGCCTTTCCTGAGGGAAAAAAAATTAAAATAAATAAAAATAAAGATAAGACTGCGGGGAAAACTATTTTGAATTCAATTTTGTGATCCTTGTGTTGAGGCCTTTCTAATAACTTAATAATCTGAAGAAAATATTTCATAGCTGATACATTTGTTTTGGTAGATTGCTCCTAAAAAGAATTTAAAGAAGAGTGAGCCATAAGTGAAAATGGGCAGGGAATTATTTTTTATATTCTCTGGGATATGAAGGCATAGACATTACAGAGAATGTTACTTTTCTAGTCTTCCATGTAGAATTTAAATTTCAAGGCTTCTTTTGCCCTAGCATAAATCTGATGACACTTTGTTTTGTGGCTATCTTAATCAGAAATATCTGTGACTGATGAGTTCTTTATGTAGGAATTCCTTTAGTTGAGGTGATCACTTTAGTGTTGTATGAAACCTGAGGCGCTCCCTTTGCACTTTCTTGTTATTAGCTTTAATCAACTATCATAGTTGTAATCAGGACATGGACCTCAGAAAAATTGTCTCCACTTCGTCCTTCTAGCCTCCACTGAAATTAGATTTCATTTAAATTAAAAACCACTCTGTTGAACCCACTGCTAAGGGACGGATAAGCTACAGAGTGTGAAAAAAATGTTTTCCTAGAAAATATGTGTTTTGAAGTGTCTGTATTGCTACAACTCTTCTTTTGAGAATGAAGTTTAGGGAGACTCTGAAAATATTTCCTATAGATTCCCTGTTGCTTTTTTTTATTCTGTTGTGATATGGGAAGCAAGAAAAATTGAAGGGATAGCATAGAATAAAATGAGATATGATTAATATTTGAAATTGACAAATATTTCAAATTTGAGCTATGAGCATTTGTTTTTGAGATTTATATCTAAAAGTTTATAATTTATCCAATGTCTTGTTAATAATTCTGAAACTTAGATTATATCCTGTTTTACCAGTATCTGTATTAAGTCTCTTAAAATTAAATACTAGAAATTATGAGAATATCAATACATTTTGATTACAAAGAATGTTACATCTGACTTGTTAAATGCAATGATATTGGCTTAAGTATTTTTGTTTGTTCTTATGGGTAAAATATATTGCATCTTATAAATATTTTGTGAGTAAAAACGAGGACAAGATCTATTTATAAGTAAAGGTCAGTAAATATAAAAATATTAATTTTTTTAAATGATATAAAATCTCATAGGTACTATTGATGGCCCCAAAAGATAAAAAATAAACCAAGAAGTATGAATTTGTATACTTTTTAGAAAACGATTTCATAGCAACATGATGTAACAAGTTTAAAATGCACTGTCTCTTTTAGGACTGGATCTGCCATTTATGATGATGCCTCATCCTCTACTTCCAGTCAGCTTACCTCCTGCATCAGTTGCCATGGCAATGAATCAGATGAACCATCTCAATACTATTGCCAACATGGCTGCTGCAGCCCAGATTCACAGTCCACTCTCCAGAGCTGGTGCCTCTGTTATAAAGGTAAGGATGATTATTTAGAAGATGAAAAAGGTTTTAATTGCATATAAATTTGAATAAATTCTTAGCAATACCACTACATCTTCAGTAGTAACACATAACTCATTGACTTTGTATATTATCATATAGTATTGATGAGTTTGGTTTCTGACCAGGCCTGCCAGGTTTGTTATTGTTTGTGTTTGTTACTTTTCATTATATGGCCACACTAATTTTTAGTTCTGTTTTCCTGTCTTGAAGTCATGTACACAAGTGTGTGGGAGGCATGGCCAGACAGTAGAAGAGTATGAAAAAACCATTCCCATTGCTAGGGTGAAACAAAGTAAACACTGCATCTTTTAGGGGTTTGAGGGGTAGTTATGAGATATGACACACCATGGCATAGGACTTATATTCAGAGAAACTCAGGTTCCAATTCTGATTTGACACTGATTGACTGAATGACCTTGGGCATAGCACTTAACCTGCCTGAATGTGTTTCCTCAATTGTAAAATGAAGGTCATAATAATAATCTATCCCAGTCATTTCATTGACTGTCTATGGATAATGTGAGTAAAATACATGTCAAAACCATGAAACATTAAACAAACATTTATGGTAATTTGTCACACTATCATTATTTTCATTAGGATAAAATTTTTCAAAAGTTTATGGCCATATGTAACACTAATAATGAAATTCAAATGATATCTTGTCATTTCCTCCTCTGTTTTCTATTATTCTTAGACATGTTCTCTATGCTTTCTAAGTATTTATGAACTAAGCTTTTGAATATTTTCTTTCTCTTAAGAAAATGGTGATATAAGAATCTAAGAGTATGGTCAATCATAACAACACATTGGTTTGTTCCTTTTCCCCTTCATTACCTGGCAAACACATTCTTGAAATAGACACGCAATTACATTGGACAATATGGGAAACTGATAAATAACAGATACTTTAACTTTCAGAAACTTACAGACTAAATGTGAGATATACAAGAATCCATGCAATGTATACTAACAAGACAGACTATGATGAATAGCATAAGAGAATCACCAAGAACTACTGGAATTTAGAGGAGGGAGAGATCATATCTACCTTGAAGAAGAGAAGGGGCAGGTAAAGACACTGCAGCTGACGGATATGAACTGAGCCCTGCAATACTGATATGATTGTAATAGATAGGCATGGGGATAAGAGAAGAGAAAGCGGAAGAAATATGAGATTCTGAATATTTTGGTCACATTTTAAATTCCACTTCTAATTCGGGTTTGGGAACACTTCTAAAACACAACCTTATATGAAAGGAAAAGAAAAATTGGTCATTTTTATAAAACTTCAGATGTATTTCAATGACTAATTGTAAAGATCATAGCTATTAATGGGTTAATGTATACTAGCTGTTTGAATATTTGGTCAGAGTGTAAACTGAGAATTAGAGTTGTCTTTGAGAACAAAATTACCCATGGACATTATTTAAAATACAGAATATAATTACCATGATTTTAAAATTAGATGGTCATTAAGAAAACATGACCTGCATACAAATTTTGAAATTCAATTAGGAAACAAAAACATACTTCACTGGTATTGTTATATTTGCTTTTAAATGATGGAAGAATGCTTTGACACATGCTCATGACTCTTTAAAGGTGCATTTGATTAGTTTTCATGAGGACCATTTTTCAGATTGAAATAAAATTCTGATTTTATTATTCAATAAAATGTAGTTATTCAATAAAAATGTAATTTTCATTGAATTCTTGAAACTTTGGATAGTTTTGTGAAGAATTTGAAGCCAAGAGTGACTAAGGAGTGCAACTTATGACTTTCAGTTGGTCTTTCATGATAATTATTATGGTGATAGAAATGGAAGGGATTATTACCTTCTCCTTATTCCAAACGTTGCTTTGTTGTTAACTTATTAATTCAATATCATTATTTTTTTATTGGTGATTAGCCTATTTCACATACAAACTTTTAGAAAAGAAAGTCTAAACTATCACAGATACAATTTTCAGCACTTTTTAAAAGCTCAACATTAGATCATACTTTAAGTCCTGCAAAATTCACAGAAGCCATTTTATGCTGAAGATAAATGTTTACTTTTGCATATTTTGATTAAAGTAAGTTGAAAGAGACAGGATTAATTCAAATGACCTTGGATACAATTGCTGTATAAATCTACCTCAAGTAGATTTCCACTGGAGGATGATTAGATAAATGAAAATATTTGTAAATAGACTGGGCAACAGAGTGATATCCTATCTGAAGAAAAATTCAATTTCAGTGAATAGAGAAAGGCTTTTAATAAAGTTGTCATGTTTGTTTTGTAAAAGTGCTATTATGTGATATTAACATTATCATATTTAAAAATAATAAGCCATAGACCATACATAATTAAAATTAAAATTTTATAAGTCACTAAAAATAATTGAATATATGTATTAGAGTGTCACCTTCCTTTGAAGAAGCTACCAAGAAGATACCAGGAATATGATACCAACTTTTAAGGATATGTTTTACACTGTTATTTGAGTTTCAACAGAATTTGCTTTCATGTGCATCACCATAAAGAAGAGGGTTTCAAAGTTAAATCTATTAGAATCCTATAGGCATTTGGAAAATCTCTGTGTTGAGAATTCATCTCCTAAGATTACTAGGGAATATAAAAACTTGTCAATCAAATGTATAGTTTATGTATTTACATTTATATAATTTTTTTATCCTGGTAGTTTGATATAAAAACAGATGTTTAAATTGATATTTCTCATTGTTTTACAAAAAACTAGACTGAAATCATGTCTTTTATATCATATTTAACATTTAGAGGTAAAATATCCTTCCAACATATGCATGGTCAGAAAATTTAGCATTTAATGTTTAGAAAGAAATGACATAGCTATATAATTTGATTTCATTCTGACAAATCTAGTATAAATTAGGAAATGTTAGAATGGTCTAATCAGAAACATTCTTTGTTGTATAATCAATATAATCAATTTAAAATACAGCTGCAAAGCAAAATATCAAAACTTTTATATACACAGTTAGAGACTAGTACAAATTAGCAAGTGTTTATGAGTTTTAAAAAAATTGTGAAAATTCACAAAAAATGTTAACAATGTTGTTGATGTATTTAAATAGTTCTAATTGGAATTGCACTTCCCGTAAAGATTATATCTCTTAATGGGTTAGTGTCTAAAATTACTCCTAACATGGCTGATTTCATGTTACTAATATTTTAACAACTGGCTCACAAATTACTGAATATCTAACAATTAGCTTTGGATTGAATAGGTGTCAAGACAACTCTCCTTTTGAAGCATTGCAAAAAATATGCAACTCAAACTTTCCATGCCAATTTTCTATCAGATCCTTTAAAGGAAATGAACACAAACTTTTTCAACCAGTTTACCTATCAACTATATTACTTCAGAATAGTACAACAAATTAAAAGTTTTAGTAATCTCTTTAAAAATATTTGAATAAGCAGTTTGCCTTTCAATTTAAATCATAATCTTTTAGCACAGAATGATTTCAATTGAAAGGTATTTGGGCATAATTGCATTGGGGCTTTTCCAACCAATAGGTTTGAAAATACTTTTGTTCCATGGTGAAAAAAGTTAGGTTCTGATGCTTGCAAACATTCTTAGCTGGTGAAAGCTACTACATAGGAAAATAGAGTTGGGTGGCATAGTCACAAGTGCTGTGGTGTTTTTTCCCACACAGCTAGAAAATAAAATCATAGCTTTTAAGAAATCTGAAAAGTGGGGTTGGTTATGGCTCAGTGGTAGAATGCTCGCCTAGCACGTGTGATGCGTTGGGTTTGATCCTCAGTACCACATAAAAATAAATAAATAAAATAAAGATATTATGTCCAACTACCATTAAAAGTAAATTTAAAAAAAAGAAATATGAAAAGTGATATCACTTTTAGAGGCTGAGATTTCTAAAGAAAAACATATTATAGTTTAATAGATTTTCTTACCTCCATGGATTTAAACAATTAACAATGAATCTTAGGTGTACATAATATTCTTACTATATTGTGGCTATCTAAGATGATAGCCATTCATGGAATATGTCTGTTTAAATTTAAGTTAATTAAGTAAAATTAAAACTCCAATTTCTAAGTTGCAATCAGCCACATTTTAAGGGCTTAATAGCTACATTCTGCTTTGTGGCTAAAAGATTAGACAGCACAAATATAAATCTATATTTTCATCTTTTCAGAAAGTTTCTCTATACATTCTTCAGTTAGTTTCTGAAATGATGGAAAAACTCAACACATTATGTAGGGTCAATGAAATGTCCAAACCTATCAGTCATCTGTGAAAAAAGTTCTGATAATACTGATTAACAATCAAAAAATGTATTGCAGTTAGTCTTTCAGTTGCTCAGAAAGAATATTTATTGCTAAATATTTTTAATTTCAAATATTTTAAATTTTATTTTCTCTGAGAAAACAGAGACAGAGAATACATTATTCACTGATGTAACAAATGGGAAATGCATGCAAAGGGATATGTTACACTGACTTATTAAAAATAAAAATAAAACATAGGACCTCCAAATATTTGTAGAATTATATACTATTTTCAGCTAAAACTCTCATACTCTGTTAGCCATATAATATCTATTCAGAAGCAGAAATCTGAAATCATTGGAGTAGTATTATTTAAAAATAGGCTCTTTGCCTGTCTTTGAATTCTATTTTCAATATTTCTCGTTATGTGACATTAGACAAATTAATTAACCTAACTTCATCTCAATTTGTCTGTCTCCCAATGAAATGGGAATGGTAATTGTACCTACTTCACCTACTTCATAGATAATGTGATGCTAAGAAATAATGTAATGAGCGAAATAAAGTGATAATGTGATAATGTGATGAGAGAAAACATATAATACAGAACAGTGTTTGGCATGTAATAAATATTTAGTGTATATTAGCTAACATTATTTTATTTATTTCCTGTTCCAGGATCCATGTAGAAATAGTAATAAGTAGGAATCA